TAGCTGTCCCTTCTGCCGGAAGGTAACTCACTCTCTTCTCTTACTTAGTCAGTGTCTTTGTCTTGAGGTGTTTCAGAATTAGCCAAGATTCTGAAGGTTTTGTTTAGCTTAAAATCTTTGCTTGATATCATGAAAGCAAGTTGTTGAATCTTGCCTGTCAATCATTTTAGCTTTTATCTGAGTCTTCTTCAACAAAATGTGTCTTTTGTGTATGAATCATTTTTAGCTTTTGTCTGAGTCCTCTTGATGTATTGCAACAACGCCTTAGGGTAAGTCTACTAATATGGAGAATTTGCAGGTCAGGGAAATGGTTGCAGTGTTGGATCTTGATATTCTATACTATCCTTGTCCAAGAGGGAGTCCGAATTTCCGCCCGAAAGTTAAACAGATGGGCGGGAAACAACAGTTTCCGTACATGGTTTGGCATTTTATCCTATTGATTTTCTATAATCTTATTCATTCTTCCCGCGAAAGCCATCCTTGGAATAATTGTCTTTGCCCTGATATGTCCTTGCTTCGAGTTCAAATTCGTTATGCGTTAATCACAGAAATGTGGTTCAAGAAGTCGTATATGAATGCTAAATCTTTGGAGCAAAAGCGTTGCAATATAAAGTTCTTTTTTGTTCATGAACTCTCAGAAACCTTAGAATCCTGTTTTGACTTTGACGCTTATATGCACAATTAAAACTCATGTTTGTTGCCTTCCACCACTTTAACCAGTAAGAAACAAGATTCTAATGTTCAGTGTTTAACTAGACAATGTTTCATTTAATTATAGGTTGATCCCAATACCGGAGTGGCCATGTATGAATCAGATGGAATCATCAAATATCTATCCGAGAAATATGGTTGATATCTACTTCTATTTACCAGATCCCTTTGTGGTCATCGGCAATATCATCATCTTTTGTCATCGTCATTTCTGTTCAAGTAATGTTTTTTCTCTGTTTGGCTAAACTTGTTCAGGAGATGGAACAGTTCCTTTGAGTCTGTCGCTTGGTGCTTTAACGGTTAGTTTCTTTCCACATATAACCATTCTTTCCATTTATTCACAATCCAAGACTGTAAAATTAAGATTACTACTTTGATATTGTAGGCTATAACAGCTGGCTTGGCCATGATTGGTCGTGCGGGAAAGGTAAGAAGAAATTCTGTTGTATGCTTTCAGCATATTTTCTGTAAAGACAATGACCAAAAGAACTTACATCGAATGTTTGTCTATGGAAGAGTATGCTATATTTGGTTTAGGTAGATATAGTAATTGAATGGAAACTCTGTGAATACTTTGTATTATAACGATATCGGTTTATGCAACGGTTTTCTCACAAAATGCTTGAGTTTAACCATGCAGGGTAACTTGTACACACCAGCAAAACTACCGCCTAAGCCACTTGAATTCTGGGCATACGAGGTTTCGAGATCATCACCTTTTCTCGGTCATGAGATACCATATCTTATTTACATGATAAACTATAGTCTCTGTTTAAATTTGCGCTCTAGGGTTCCCCATTCTGCAAGCTTGTACGCGAAGTTCTTGTAGAACTGGAGTTACCACACATTCAACGCAGGTATGGCAACAACAAAAAGCTCTCTTCGACCAGCCATCATGAACTGTCCTTCACATATTTGTTAAAACCGAAGGAACAAAGTTACAGTCTTTGATTGATATTACCCTCCGTTTGTTTGTTTTGTTTCATCAGTTGTGCTCGTGGTAGCCCGAAACGACAGGAATTGCTCGAGAAAGCTGGTCACTTTCAGGTGAGTTAGAGCAATACATACATACATAGAGAGAGATTGAGATAGTGAGAGAAGAAGGTTTGAAAAATAATGACACTGATGAGTTTGTGTTATGTTGTTATATCAAAACAGGTGCCATACCTGGAAGATCCAAACACTGGAGTAAAGATGTTTGAGAGTGCAGAAATCGTAGAGTATCTCAAGCAAACTTATGCTGCTTAAGTTGTACTCTTCTTCTTCACTCTATATACTCAGTATAGTTTATATGTGGATGTGTGTATGTGCAGCTACTTTCTGTTCCAATAATAACTGAATGTAGTATGAATTACTTTTGATATAGTTTTGTGAAAAATATATTTCAACTTACAAAGATTTTCAAACAGAATTTTGTAATATTTAAACTTCTTTTCATCCCTAAAGTAGAACAATTTTCACCTTTCAAATGTATACGCATAGAC